ATTATCCTCACATACTGTGTCCATTAAACAAAATATGTACATAGGTTGTTATTTATTATGGTGATGATAAAATTAATTTCTTAAAAGTAGGTTTTGTACTGTGTTTCGTATTCAAATACTTAGCAAAAGTTTACCAATCGAAGGATGAGATAAATAAATATAACCCCTGTAAAAATGTTTTCTTTTATAGCAAGCTTCACTCACTGGGAAGCAGGGATGTGTCCAAAACTACACATATATACATTTTGGACCAGAAAATCTATGCTAATTTGTATATAGATACTGTTACCTTAAAACAAATTTTTCGTTATTTTTTTTTCAACTGTTCGGTTATCTAGTTTATTACAAAATGTTTCGAATTTAACTGAATACTTTTCTGGTTGTTAGAGGTTTACTGATTCACATAAGTGTTTTGTTGAATTTCGCGCGAAGCTACTTGAGGGCTATCTGCGCTAGCCGTCCCTAATATAGATGAGACAGACCAGAGGGAAGGCAATTACTCAACACCATTCTCAGCCAACTCTTGGACTACTTTTTTACCAATGAAATGCAGGATTGACCATCACATTATAACACCCCCACGACTAAAAAGGTGAGCATGTTCGGTGAAGGGATTCGAACCCGCAGACTGCGAGTCCTGTGCCCTAAACGTTTAGAGGGTCTACAAGTACCATACCCTCGACCTATTTTAATTTCATAGTTTTATGTTTGAAACTAAATAACAATGCACAAAACAAACACACTGCGGGGTCAGCTAACGATAGAGAAGTTATGTCGTATTATATATAACTAACGTATAGTCCGTCAAAAATGATGGGGCAAGTACTACCTCCCCCACCCCATAGTATACCTTAATCTCACATTTCATAGCTAACTGAAACAAATAAAGTTTCCGAAATCAAGCTTTAACAACAAAGAAGAAGATGAGTGCAGTCAAGGCAGTCAAACGTCGGTAATTTCCTTTGTGAGCCAGTTAAAATTAAGATCATTCACGAAATGAATTCGTGGAGTATTCATAGAATAATTACTGGTAAAAATATATAAAAAAGCCAATAAGTTTTGATAACACTACGTTCCAACAATGGCTTTGATGTCATGTTGCTTAGCAACAAATGTATAACCTAATATTGTTGTTAGTCTATGTACTGAAAGTATAAAATGAAATGTATAGACAGCAAAACTGGAAAAATATTTGTTGATTTATTAATTTAGAGTCTCCGTTGAATAAAGAGGTTTGTTTCTTATTAAAAACGTTGGTGATATAACAGAAAATAGCTTAATTCAGAAATGATTTAAGTTTAAAATTGAATCAATATTCTTACTTTCATGATAAATTTTATGCACTTGGCTCTAGACTAGGTGATCCCACACTACGTCTTTACTTTAGGCTTATTATACTAACACTCACTACGCTTATAAGGTTTCACGACACTCCTCACTGTCACGGTCCCCTTGCGCCACCATCACTAAAATCGTAATGGGCAGACAGTAATCGAACTATTCTATCTGGATAAATCTATTTTGGCTTTCATGACTCCTCCTATTTCGAGAAATCAAACATGACGTGATACACACTGGCTTTTATATAGTTAGATATACTGAGGTTTTAGTCAAGTTATCACTTTTTTCCATGACCCTATGATACTGAAGGTATGATAAATGTCCTATGTAGAAATTTGATTATCAGCTGATGACCAGAAGATAGCCTGGTAATTCTATACAATTTATCTTCTCATTTTAAGTGATGCGTTATTTTATTGTTGTTCAGATATTTTCACTTACTTTTCATCATCAACTATTTACTATATATTTGGTTGCTTAGCCACACAGAAAACTACAAAACATTTTACCTCCTTCCTACCACCACAGTTCTCCGAAACTAGAGGGAGTTCGAATATGGTGCTGGTCCTTCTGTTGCCATAGGTCTCACATTTGTGTGGTGCTGATTTCGCAAAAATTCTTCCATCAAAAGGTTCCAGAGTTTTCAAAGTTAGTTTCATTGCCTCCGACGAACATGTCAATTTCACTACAGAAAAAAAAAGTAATTTTGTTGTTAATTTCACTGAGGGCGAAATACGTGTCGATCTTTTGTATTTTGTTCTTCGATTTCCTTCTGTGCCTCTTCACAACGAAGTTACTGTAATTACAGAATTATGAAAATGTTCATAGTTGTGACGGATATGTTTGACCTACGATCTCAGTCTGTTCATCAACTGGCTTGAAATTTGAAAGTTAAAAATATCTATCTGATGGTTAGTTAATAAGAAAGAAAAACATTTTGGAATAGGAGTTGTTTACCAAGATTACCAAATTCAAGCAAGAATTTAACCAGACAAACTCTTCTGTAAAAGAACATCAGTCCTAAAAATTACATTACTTGACAAAAAGGTAGCTGGCAGGTATTAAATGTGGTACTAACAATCGCATAGTAAAAAGTAACTACAGCTCTAGATCACTGCTATTTCATGGTAAGGTTGTTCCTAATTTGTCTTATTTCTGTTGTTTTAATTGAAAGTGTGGTTAGTTTGTAAGAGCTCTCCCATATTGTCTTCAAAATTATGGAGAATGTTATAAAAATGTTGACAAAACGAGGTTTTATGGAGTATATATATTATAGTATCATGCATTATATTGTTACTGCAGTTTAGATATGTTTGTTTGTAGCTAATCAAAAGCCACACAGTAGGCTATCTGTGCTGTGCCCATCATGGGTATCGAAACCCAGATTTTAGAGTTATAAACCTTCAGACTTACCGTAGTGCCACTAGGTGTACTGTAGTTCAGAGGGTATGTTTAAATTTTAATTTGCTAACAGTAGTCTTTACAGACTTAAGCCTCTTAGGTTTCAACATGCTTTTCATGCGAACATATCACTACTGTAAGGCTATTAATAAACGCCTGTTTTGTTTATACATCCTTGCGTTTCTGTTTTCTTTAGGACCTTCCCATAACTAGCAAATGGTTTTAACTGTGGGACGCAGTGGGTTTTAGCATCCATATCTACTCTTAATTTTAAGTTTTTTGGTTCTAGTTTCGTGTCACGTGTGGCTCTTGCACACAGACAGTGGTCAAATCTGATAGAAGATACATTCTCACCGTTGTGTGGGTCGTACTTTTCGCGGACACCTGTTCACAAGAATACAATCTGATATCCCCTGTTTGTAGTTTGTACTCTGATTTTATTTGTGTTGTTTTTATGTACAGTTTATTGTGTTAGCATCTTGCCAGTATTCAAATA